CTCCCCACAACAGACACCCTGTGAGGTAAAAGAAGAAGAAGAGGAGATTGGATTTATACCCCGCCCTTCACTATCCAAAGGTGTCTCAGCGCAGCTTACAAACTCCTTTCACTTCCCCTCCCCACAACAGACACCCTGTGAGGTAGGTAGGGCTGAGAGAGCTCTTGACAGAAACTGCTCTTTTTCAAGAACAGCTCTTATCAGAACTACAACTTGCCCAAGGTCATCCAGCAGGTGCACGTGGAGGAGTGGGGAATCAAACCCGGTTCTCCCAGATTGGAGTCCGTGCACTTCACCACGACACCAAACTGGCTCTCAATTTAATTTAATGGGTCCCTGTAAATGATTTTGGGAAGAAGTGGGGGGAAGCTTTAAGGAAGGGGGCTGAGCCCCAATAGTCCCGCTGTAACTACAGGGCCAGAATGCCACTGTAGTTACGGGGAGGGGGGTGGGAGTGCCCGAACGGAACCCCTTTGCTGTCTTCAAATAAACTGCTGGCGGGCAGGAAAACAAAGAGGGAGGGTGCCAGCGTCTCGAAGGGGTTCCCAGATGTCTGCAGCACGGGAGGTGACCAGGAGCCACGCACGCCCATGTCGTTCACTGGGAAGGCCCAAACAAAGCCCTTGGCATCACTGGCGCATGCCCAGGAAAAGACGGATCCCCCTCGCTTGGGGTAAAGAAGACACCTTAAGTCAACCCTGCGTCCCCACCTCCCGGCCCAATATTATTTCCTCCTCCTCCTCCTCCTCTGTTCCAAACGTTTAGCCCCCCCATAACGCAAGGTGGGGAAGACGGAGATCACCTGCTCGAGCCGCTGCTATGACTTCCTGGCGGCGGAACTTCGGCACCGTTCGATACAGGCGACTGTACATCCATACCTGTTGGGGAGGGATGGAGAAGTCAAACTGGGCTCTCTCCTCTTACCTGAGACCGCTGGGTACTGAGACTCTGGATGCAAACACATCTGGGAGGGAAAGGGTTGAGACTGCAATGTTCCCTCTAAGCTGTGGAGTCTTGTGAGTAAAAATTCTACTGTGTGAGCTACTGGCATTAAAGTTGTGAGTGAGCGATTTGGCGGCTGCATATCTGCTCTGGAGCCCTCCTTCCTGAGCGAAGACAAAAATGTGTGAGCCGGAGGCTAAAAAACTGTGAGCTAGCTCACACTAACTCAGCTTAGAGGGAACACTGGTTAAGAGCGTTCTCTCACTGGGGCACACTCGGCAGTTCCCCCCCCCCATCTCCCACATTGGTTAGGTGTTGAGTCTCTTTGGACCTCACTTGCCTTCTGTGTTAAAAGGACCAGACAGTAGGACCTTCTCTCTCTTACCTGGGCTTGGAGCCGTAGCAAGTTAACCTATTTTTGAAGTTAACTGGTTCACAGTGAGTTAAAAAGTCCCTCCATGAATATGTCATGTAAGAGGTGCTCCCCTTTTTGTAAGTAAAGTTTCTTTCTCTTATTACCATCGGAGTCAGGTCATCTTTGTAATTTGCTTGAGCAGCATTTTCCCCTTAACCAGGAAACGTGGAGGATCGGGGGGGTACTGTGTGAAGCTTCTGTGCTTCCGAGGCAAGTCGATATATATATTTTTTACATTTAACCCCATAGAGACACCCTCCATTCATTACTCCCTGGTCCTTGCTCCGCTGTACAGAAGAATGTGTGTGAGGTTAGTGGCACACCATCTGCTTTTGCAGGCAGAAGGTCCCAGGTTCAATCTCTGGCATCTCCAGTTAAAAGGACCAGGCAGGAGGTGATGAGAAAGACCTTGACCTGAGACCCTGGCTCAGAGCTAGAGCCTCTTCTGGCATGCAGAAGGTCCCAGGTTCAGTCCCCAGCATCTCCACTTAAAAGGACTAAGCCGTAGGTGATGAGAAAGACCTTGACCTGAGACCCTGGCTCAGTGGCAGAGCCTCTGCTTGGCATGCAGAAGGTCCCAGGTTCAGTCCCCGGCATCTCCAGTTGAAAGGACCAGGCAGAAGGTGATGAGAAAGACCTTGACCTGAGAACCTGGCTCAGTGGCAGAGCCTCTGCTTGGCATGGAGAAGGTCCCAGGTTCAGTCCCCGGCATCTCCAGTTGAAAGGACCAGGCAGGAGGCGATGAGAAAGACCTTGACCTGAGAACCTGGCTCAGTGGCAGAGCCTCTGCTTGGCATGGAGAAGGTCCCAGGTTCAGTCCCCGGCATCTCCAGTTGAAAGGACCAGGCAGAAGGTGATGGGAAAGACCTTGACCTGAGAACCTGGCTCAGTGGCAGAGCCTCTGCTTGCCATGCAGAAGGTCCCAGGTTCAATTCCCGGCATCTCCAGTTGAAAGGACCAGGCAGAAGGTGATGAGAAAGACCTTGACCTGAGACCCTGGCTCAGTGGCAGAGCCTCTGCTTGGCATGGAGAAGGTCCCAGGTTCAGTCCCCGGCATCTCCAGTTGAAAGGACCAGGCAGAAGGTGATGGGAAAGACCTTGACCTGAGAACCTGGCTCAGTGGCAGAGCCTCTGCTTGGCATGGAGAAGGTCCCAGGTTCAGTCCCCGGCATCTCCAGTTGAAAGGACCAGGCAGGAGGTGATGAGAAAGACCTTGACCTGAGAACCTGGCTCAGTGGCAGAGCCTCTGCTTGGCATGGAGAAGGTCCCAGGTTCAGTCCCCGGCATCTCCAGTTGAAAGGACCAGGCAGGAGGCGATGAGAAAGACCTTGACCTGAGAACCTGGCTCAGTGGCAGAGCCTCTGCTTGCCATGCAGAAGGTCCCAGGTTCAATTCCCGGCATCTCCAGTTGAAAGGACCAGGCAGGAGGTGATGAGAAAGACCTTGACCTGAGACCCTGGCTCCGCCTGAGACCCTGGAGAGCTGCTGCCAGTCTGAGTAGACAAGACTGAGCTTGATGGACCAAGAAGGTCTGATTCAGTTTAAGGCAGCTTCCTGTGCATCTTCTCTCTTGGCATCTGTGTCATGTGTGACCATGCCTGGGTGTGAGCCGACTGGACAGGATATAGCCAAAGGCCCACCAGACATAGGCCCAGCTCTACAAAGAAGAGATGCCTATGAGAGCGGGAGAGAGGGAAGGCAGAGGAAGAGCCTCACTCACAGTGTGGTGGGTGCAGCCACAAAATGGCTGCCACATGAGGCAGAGGCGGCCACAAAATGGCTGCCACCGCTTCCTTTCAGACACACAGTGAAGATACGTGTGCTGCGGTAGCCGCTGCTGCTAAAGCAGTGTTTCTATTGTGTTTTTAAAAATAATGTTCCACAAGGATGAAAGGCAGCTAATTAATGAAGAAAGAAAGCAAGAAAGAGAGAGAGGGAGAGAGGAGGAGGAGAGAGAGAAGAGGAGAGAAAGAGAGAGAGAGAGAGAGAGAGAGAGAGAGAGAGAGAGATCTTGTCCAGCACCTGACACTTCCTAGGGACTAAGCCTGAGTTCATTCACAACACTTTGCATTCTATACTTTCTCCCAGTAGAGCTCATCCCCCCTCCCGTTTAAGCCTCACCACAATAACCCTGTGAAGTAGGCAGACTGCAGGTTGTTCTTTACCCTTGCACGCTATACTTTCTCCCAATAGCTCATCCCGTCTCGCATTTAAGCCTCACCACAACCTGCCTGCGAGGTAGGCAGGATTGCAATTCATTCACTACGCTTGCATTCTAGACTTTCTCCCCTCCCATTTAAGAATGTAAGAAACTAAGAGAAGCCATGTTGGATCAGGTCTGGATTTATACCCCGCCCTTCACTACCCGAAGGAGTCTCACAGCAGCTTACAATCTCCTTTCCCTCCCCCTCCCCACAACACCCTGTGAGGTAGGTGGGGCTGAGAGAGCTCTGAGAGAACTGCTCTTGAAAGAACAGCTCTGAGAGAACTTGTGACTGACCCAAGGTTACACCAGCAAGGTAAGATCCCCCCCTCCCCGTTCTGGAAGAGCTGGCAGGATATCTGACGATCCTTCTCAGCCACACAACGGGAATAACGGCAGAAAACCAGAACGCTTGACATCTCGCTGGTCCCGAGAGCTCCTACCTGCCTTCCCTGCAACCAGACATATTTCAAGTCATCGTAAACTTTCCCGTCTTGGCCGAGGCACGTAAAGAATCCCCTGGAAACAAAGAAAGAAAGAAAGAAAGGAAAGGAAAGCCATTAGAACCTAGAGGGTGTGTCATAAAATAGTGCTGGGTAGGGTGGCCAACCTCCAGGTGGGACCTGGAGATCCCCCCAGAATTACAACCGATCCCCAGGAAACAGAGATCAGTTACCCCACAGAAAATGGCTCCAGGTATTTACCAACCCAGAGCTGGCAACCCACGGGGTCAATCATATCGGACTCCTGGACTGCTTTTGCAGGAGAATTCCCTAGAGGAAAAAGCAGAAATTCCCAGAGGAATATGCATCCCATAAATTAGCAGAAGCACGGACCCCACAAAGTAATTTCTATAGGGAGGCTGAGTTTGTCTCCTCCTCCATCTCCGGGGACGATTCTGCTCATCTGAGAGGAAAAGTCACCCGGACAGAAGTCTAGTTTTCCATCCCTTCTGCAAGACTGCTTAGGGACATAGGCTGTTATCAATGTATTCTCTCCTCCGTGTCTTAGAGAAGCAGAAGGGACGGAAAACTAGACTTCTGTCGGGGAGACCTGGGTTCCAATCTCC